CTCCCCAATTCTTAAATTCCTAATCCTAAAAGGCCGGTAACATACTTGTAACGCCTCCGGTGTTCCGGGTGTCCATGGGCGACGCCAATTGCTTACCATCAAGTGATCCGTCTGCTCGTTTACCAACTTATTCTATAAAAAAGATTGTCTTAGTTGACTACAAGTTAGTTGAACAAGTCCTTGTGATATATTTGCAGGTCGTGCACATCGTCCCCGTCGGGGTCGCAGCGCGCGGAGAGCTCGCGGCAGGACGCGGCCACCACCAGCTCCGTGCAGGAGTGAGCTCCACAGTGCCAAGTGTAATGAGTAGTGCCACTCAGTGAGACTATGTGTTCATATTCCTAAATACTCAACTATAAGACAAACCTCCAGTGATCAAGACACTCGTTGAACGGTGGAAGACAAGTGATATTTTTCGTAATTAAGGACATATAGCATACTTCGATATTCACCGCGACTCCGCCTAGTCAACGAAATAAGTGTTCTTCCTTACGCTTGTGAACTATGAACTGAACTATGAACCTTTTGTAAAAATAAAACAACAAAAAAAATACCTTTTTCTATGAAATATGTATTTGAAATCAATCAAATGTTCGTCGTACTTATAATTAATTGTTTTTGATTGGTTCGTGATCTCATAAGTTAATTGTATCCTGTGTTATTCTGTATTCTGGTGTAACATAACATTCGTGTCACTAATAAATATAGCTGTGGTTAGTTGTGGTGGCCCTTCGTTTGTAACTAGAACCTGTTTGGGATTAAGGGTATCCGTCCATATGATAATAACTAACAAGATAACAGTAATGCCTCGTCTTATGACTGTAGTCATCGCTTGTATATGTATTAAAACGAAACATTGTATGTACATTGTACCCGCTCTACTAGACGTCTATCCATCTAAAGGCTGCTTATTTAGTTTGCAGTCATAATCAAGGTGTAGTTTTCTACATTCAGTCAGCCATATGAATGATTGTAAGCTTCTATTCAGTAATTGTTATGTCGAAAGACTTTGATGTGAAAATGGGGCCATGTCGCAACTGAATTCATTCTACGTATGTATGTTTTAGCGGATGTGCATAAAGAACCTTATATCTTTCGTGTACCTACTTCCCAATGGTGCAATGTTAGTGAAAACTTTGTTAACAATACATTAAACACTAATTTCGTGACTTGAAATATGTAGTTAATAAAATCTAGTCTGAAGATGATGTCGCTTTTAAATTCAGTTGTAAAATAAATAGTTTGATGATATAAGTTCCGAGGCTAAGGTATTGAAATATGAATTTTTGTGTTATTCAATTTTGAACCTTTTGTTCTGCTTGTTTTATACCAGCCTCGTATAAGAGATAGGTCCGATAAAGCATATTTTGCGATAGCGGCAACAATTTCTCTTGAATCAAAAGTGTTTGTGTTCACAAAAACTGTATTTAAAAGCGACTTAATGCTTTCAAACTGTGTCTATCTTAATAATATGTTAATTTAAGTTATTTTAAGTGAGCATTTAAGTTATTATATACGAAAATAGACAAAAAGGTACTTAAATCCATTGGATTTTATATAAACAAGGAGACTGGTATGTACTTTTTAATAACCGATAATTAATAAATGTGTAAAAATGTTTACATTCCCATTCTTGTTCAATTCGAATGTTGCTCGTATATCGACGTGCGAACATAATATATGTGTTGAAATAAAAACCAATACAGTATTGATATTTGTCTTTTATTGTGCACAACCCTTTATTAACATACCTTAGGGCTCGTACACAAAACTGCGATGCTAATTCGCAACATAGAAAATTATGTCACGAATTGCTGTTGCGATGCTATTTCGTGCGACAAGGCGTCTTCCAAGGTGACCATTCCTTCGATGACCGTCAACCGTACTAAACGTATTTTAAATTGAAAACTAAGTCGTGATCATGGATCGTAAAAATAAGTGTGCACTTTTGTTATTGCTTAGGAGATAAAGTAAAAAGAAACAAAGAAGATTTTGAGAAGATAAGATTATGATGCGCGATGCGAATCAATTCGCGTCGCAGTTTTGTGTACGAGCCCTTAATCAACATCATTTCGTATATCTAAAAAGCTAGAGGTCCTAGCCACGTCATTTTTGTACTCCCTTAGATGCAGAGACCCCCTAAAAGGAAATACTTGCTGTAGAAATGACCTTGGGAGAAATTGAGCTTTAAAATATTCTGACACCAAAGGTTTAACCTTTAAATAGAAAAGGTGTCTTAGGTACAATATGCAAGTTATCGAGGTACGAATAGCTATTGATAAAGGTTGATAGATTGATATCCCTCGATAGAGGGTTGGTTTGGGGGCCTAAATTATATTATGATAGGTGTTTTGATTTTGAATATCACGATTTTCAAGGTCCATCGCATAAATTGAATGATCTATTTACTTATTAAACTGTCAAACACCAAGCGGTCACCGGTGACCGCAACCTATTGTTCTATAATTGTGTCTATAATGACGGTACTCGACGAGTTAAACAAGTTCGGGCGGGCGTTCCTTAGGGCGGTTTGATTATACCTAAACTGCAATAACTTTACGAAGTAACGTCAGAAAGTAATGAGATGATGTGTAATGATTAGTTTCATTAAAATTTATTAGCAACTCAAATGGTCTGCTGATATTTGAAGTTTAAAAAAAAGCCAATTCTAATCTGTCATGGCGAGCCCGCCTTTGGGCGAATAAACAATGAACCATTACTATTTCAGCGAATAAACAATAAAACTAACACATATTTGCCACATACATATATTGCAGACAACTGCACATACACCTTTTACGCGTGGTATAGTACCTTAAACGTTTAAACTGAGCATATCAAAGGAATCATGTCGGATTCTGCAGCTTCATGCCAAAAACGCCAATGGACGGCCCAGAATACAAAATCGAGATGCCGGGACCGCCGATGGGCGGGCTGCATAGTACAGTATGGCGGCATCTGGATAATAACGTTACTTTTCAGAATGGGTTAATAAATATGTAAGCTTGTGAGCGAGTTTGTCTGTATTTTTTACTCAATCGTAACAGAACTGAGTGCTTACTCTTGAAATCAATCTCAATGTCAACGCAATTTCAATCCAATAAAACCGCAATAATTATTCAAAGTCAATACTATACAACCACAATCGTAGCTGTTACAAATAGCATTCAGAGTACGGAATATATTATAGACAAACTCAATACCATTTAGTTTATTAAATATCCACGCAATACGGATGCAATGGGCGCTAGTGTTGCGACTCAAGAGTACGAAATTTCACAATACCAATGTCGATCGATCGATCGGAATCGGATTCAAGAGTAAGCCCACTGGTCCGGATGAAAGGATGACGGGCCGAATGTACCTACCGACCAATAACGACCAGACGTATATCGTTAGGAAGCTCTTTTCACGACTATCATTTGTTATTATGGCGGTTTTTTTTTGAAAATCATCGAATGACTGCTCCCGCCTGGGTGAGGCGGGAGGGAGTGTCAGACTCTTACTGACTAAAAACCACCCCGTTCCTTCTCCTGCACGTCGAGCTGGAGCCACGGTTACCCGTTACGTTCTCCGCGACTCTGAATCGGCATCGGCCCTGTTGGGCCCCATCCGTGGTCGTCTGATTGGCTATTTAAGGCGCGCGCCGAACACTCGGGTCTGGTTCTGTTCGGACGGTGAGCCACCCATGCTCGCCGTCCGCAGGCCCGCGCTTACGGTGGCCGGATGAATTGACACTAGCCGCCATAGTCACAAATTATAGCCAAGAAGAGCTTTCTGACAACATACGTCTGTCCGCTATTGGTCGGTAGGTTCATTCCCCATGCATGTTTGCCCGTCATCATTTAGAACAGGGGTAGCTTATGGATTAAAAAAACATATAGGTATAGGCTACTTTTTCATGCCACGGCTACATGGACGAAACCGCTGGCAGAAGTTACAAGCTAATGAAGAATAAATTTTGAATCGAGACTGTTTAATGGTTCCATGAATTGATAGCTAGGCTAACTTCTTGTCTGTTGACAGTTGCGGCCATAATGTGTTTATACCGGGAGCCAGTGTTACAACAGACAAGAGGCTAAAGGAGCAGAAATTAAACAAAAAAATAATATAAAAAATACTTTATTGACTAAACGTGATACACAGAAATGCCAATACAAATATTTACATCGAAGTATAAAATAAGATCTTCAAAGAGACAATACCATTTTGAATTACATTGTTGGGTGTAATGATTCGTTTTAATGTAGCCAAAGTTCAAAATACCACATAAACGATAAATTATAAAGCTACAAGCGTTGTTAGACAGTACAAAGATGAAAACAGAAATTATTGAAATAAAAACAACGCCGTGCAACTCTTTAATAATAAAAATCACAATTAAACAAATCATTGTTTGGTTCATCCAATAATAGTTTGGTTGATAACATAATATAAAATCACTTTTAACCGTCGAAGGGGTAGGCAGAGGTGCACATATCCAACATAACTTCTCACTATATGTTTTGAGTCCCATGTAATAGGGAGTGAGCTAATTTCGACAGAGAAATCACACAATAACATACTTTACAACGGTATCCACATTAACTTGATATAACATTTTGAAAGTTACTTCATTATATTTAAAAATTAATTCAATAGGACAGTTGATTTACTAATTTTAAGACTTAAAACTACTCATGAAGTTTACATTCATGTCATTCTCTAAGTTCAATAGAGAAAAAGGATATTTTACTAAAACATATAGCCAGCATCATTTCACACAATCAACATTTTCTCACATAATTATTTCATATAAAGTAATGACCGGCTGACTGTATACATCCTTTTATTAGATAAAAAACAGGTTTCATAGAAATATACCTGCAAACTTTTTTCAACTATCTATTCCTATTATTGTTACGTAGATTGTAACACAACAATATATACAATATAGCATACGCTCAAGAATATATTCCAACAAGAGAGCAAGAAATTAACAAAAATCTTTATTGATTAACATTTTTTGTATTCTTATCGGTACAAAGAAATACAAAGTTTACGGTTGGCCCGATGGTAAGTTATCACCGTAGCCTGATTACTGCAACACTAGAGGTTATCACATGTGTGTTGCAGATCATGTAGGAAATAGTGGGGTCTTCAGCTTTTTGCTCACTAGATGGTGCTGTTGTGGAATTCTCGGTTTTTGGACCGATACGAAAATAGCTATAGCTTGTTCGCGTTGAGAATGTGGAGTCATCAGTGCAAGTGTACGATAAAGGTGTATTCACAGTGGTGTGACATTCAAACAAAGTATATTTTAAAATATTAAGGGGTCTGTTTTACAATATCTGGATAGCCGTTATCTACCAGATAAATTTGAATTAAGAATGTAATTTGTATGAACTATCTGTCACATAAGTTTATCAGGGACTTATATAGAGGTGGTGAAACCGGCGCTAAGTTTAATGAATTATAAAAATACATTAAAAAGTTTCAAATCAATTTAACTCGTCGAGTACCGGTTTTGTAGACACAATTATAGAACAATAGGTTGCGGTCACCGGTGACCGCTTGGTGTTTGACAGTTTAAGGGGCGGGGCTAGGCCGACAGACAATGATGATTTACTGCATTCTTAACGCGAATGTATTATTGGGTCATTGGACTTTCAATTTTTGATAGCACTATTAACACCGAACTGTCAAACTGCGCCAGACAGTCTACAAACAGAGAGAGGCGGCAGGAGATCGTAAAGACAGTAATGTAAATACGGTTTCCTCAACGTGACCATGACCACTCAGCCAAGAGCCAAACGACAGAGAAAGGCAGTGATTGAATAAACTGTCTACTATATTCTATATTAGCGCCATCTAGTGAGCAAAAACGGTAGACACTATTGCGTCATCTTTCCCTTGGAGGAGAGGTCCCGAAAACAATGGCGAAAGTTGATTTTCTAACGATAACTTCAGGATAAAGTGATAACAAGTTGGAAACGTAATTCGTTGACTGTTCTAAACAATAATTAGCGCAAAACATACAAACATATCATCAGTCTGTTAATTTACGAGCAATATTACACCTTATTACTCATATTATAATGCTTGAAATAGCATACTTTTCTTTTTTACTTATGTAAAATAAATATTCAAAGTTCTGATTGAGCAAAACACTCTGAAGCAATTCACAAATATTTAAAAAAGAAAAATATACAATAACGGCAGTCGCGTTAATTTTACATACAATAACGCAAATGCCATCATTGTATTTAAAACACACTAAAACTGAGGTTTTATAGACAACCAATATGCAGAAGAGAAGATACAGACACAATTCAGTATTATTCTGATCCGATTGGAGGAAAGAATTTGTTTGTTAAGCTTATAAAATTAAAGACAGCATCGTGGCATCAAAAATAGCGTTCAGTCTCAAAAAACTATATATTTCCGCAGATTTGTCTACAGGAGATGAAATTCCAAACAGTTTTATCGGGTTTTGTATCAAAATTATAATAGTAGCCAAATCTACGAACAGAATGGTTATTTTTACTGACCATGAAGTTAAAGTTAAAGATAAGAAATTTTGAGCCACAAATGGAAACTTACGATGTTATAATAATATACTTTCATACGGTGTCATATGGTCGCGAATCATTCATCTCGATCGCGAAGTACGCGTCGAAATTGAACTCCGATCATTTGTCCCACAGGCCAGCCTCCTTCATTTTGGTGTGGAAGTATTTCTCTAATGTGTTCGCGCATCTGTTGAATAAATTTTTATATGTTGAATTGTGATGATTAAGATAATTCAATTTTTCATATCGTGTGACCAGGGAAGAATAGGCACAAGTGAATAGAATGTTAACAAGTGCATATGACACATATAAGTAGTAATTTTTCATTACACTGTGTTTCCCGTGTATTCCAAAGTTATTACTCGAACTGAGAATCAAATCTAACTCTACGTCTAACGTCTAACGTACGTACTGAAAGGCTACTCCATTTTAAGTCATACTGAAATATCGTGCCATCTCGGCTATTTTAAAAAGCATTTATAGTGACAGAACTATATTTAAGCGCGACTTAAATTGGAGTGGCGTTTCAGTATTTGGACATATACAAACTGTGGTAGTCGTTTTTGTTACCACTCAAGTAAAATCGTATTTAAAAAGAGGGTAGTTTCCTAAATTTTATTTTAATGTCCGTCTGGTACTTTAATTTAAAACATTAGACACGTATTTTTTATTTTCTCACAAAATTAAATACTTTCGACGATATATTAATTTTAAGTATCATGTGACGTCACAGCGTGCCACATTTTGTAGCACGTTATGACGTAACGACCTCCCACTCCCTAAACTTAACGTCAATTTATCTAAGTATTGCAACTTAATACGAGAAATTAAAAAAATACGTGTATAATATTTTTTCATTATCTAATTCCGTCAGTTACTACTAATTACATTTTTAATTTTCATACCCCGGAAACTATACAATTACAATCAATGAAGATTTACGACAACCTTTACAGAAGAAATATGATAATACAATACAAATTGTTAGCTTACCTGTAATAGTCAGTATCAGGCGAGTTGTAGAGCCGACAGTTGGTGAATATTCGTGTCATGTCCGCTATGAACAACCGCTTCGATACGTAGTACCGCGCTTTTAGACGATCCACCATTGTGCGCAGATCTATAAGTGTTCGAATAATAGTATTTATTAGTCAATATTGAACTTAAGTTCTATGTGAAATTTGGTATATTAGATATCGCGAGATATACTACAACAATTGGGTACTTGCTAACTAGACAAATTCAATACTTATCGACCTGTCAAGAACGACAGTTTTCTACGAATTTTGTACGAGATTGTGTATTATGGCGTTACGTTTCTTTTGAGCTTCAAACAGCGTATTTATTTCTCAAAAATTTGGTGGAAAAATACTAAAATTAAGTTGGTCATAAAATCAATCAATGAAAGTGTGATTATTTTTTTATTATTTTATTGTATAGTGGAAATAATCTGTTTTGATGAAGGCAAGTTCCCAATTTAATCACACGGCTTATTCGCTTGGACTTTTAGAGAAAACCGGTTCAAGTTAAAAAGTAATCGAAAGGAGACCGAGTTCGGCGCTCTAATTGGTTCATTGGAGGCGGCCAATCAGAGCGCCGGATGCGTACTCGTTTCGATTACTTTAGACGTGAAACAAACTCGTACCCCTAGGAATCATGATGAGCTGAGCATGATCAAATATGAGCTGCGCACGCGGCGAGGTAACTTCACGCAGTAAACAACAATTATATAATAGTGTAGGTCAGCTAATTTGTGACCTGAACATAAGAGAGCTTTCCTCGGATAGTAACTAGGACTGTTTGGGATTTGGGGCTACGGGTGCATAGAGCGGGGACTCTAGGTGGCTACCCAGTAGTCTCAGGGAAGATGGTGGCACAGTGGTCACGTGTCGCCGTAAACAGCGAGACTTAAAGGAGACGCCGGTCTCCCTAGGGATGTGTCGTAACAGGCGTTGCACCGAGGTGGCTTTGGAGCAGGTCTCTTTAAGAGCACCTGGTGCCTCCATACAGGTGTTAAGGGGGTGGGGTGGCCACCGGGATGGTTTTAGTCAGGTAAAAATCCCACCCTAATTTTTTATCCCTAAAAAGCTAGGCGCCTTTTGAAGGTATCTCCCCGTCATCATAAAAAGGGACCGTTTGGGAGTAGCACAGATAGTACAAGTGTACTCACCCATAGGATACTTGATGTGATCGTAATAATCCGGTACTTCTGTCTTGTCCACTGGCTTCAAGAATGGCCATGCTGACGTGTGATTTTTCACCTGTAAATATGCACTTATTTATTAAAAGGACTTACAAAGAAAAAAATTTAATTTCCTGTTCATATTTTTTCTATGGGATACGCCGGTAAACGAGCAGATGGATCACCTGATGGTAAGCAATCGGCGTCGCCCATGGACGCCTTCAACACCAGAGGCGTTAACAAGTGCGTTACCGGCATTTTGGGGATTATGAATTTGAGGATTGTTGAGGATTCAGGGATTGGGGAGATTGGGGAAGGGGATGGGGATATGTATACTTTTATTATATTGGAAATGGCCACTGTCTTGTATGATGATAAGCTATGATGCGGCGTACGATGCAGCGCGCCTATATAAGTATTTATTGATTATTTATAACTTACCGCGTGTAATATATTTTTGAGAGTAGCGGCGTCAGGTTCAGGGTCGTGGTCCGTGGCGTGAGGCCGGGCCGGGCCGCGCCACCCTGTCTCACGGAGACCCGGGATACATTCTACTGGGATACTGCGAACCTGAGGGTATTAAGGTGTAATGTTATATAGTTAGTTGGTAAAGACCTTAGGGAAACAGATACAACGCATATGCCTATATGCGTTGATATATCTGTTATGATAATGAAAGACTTTGTGTACAGACACCAGGTATTTCATTTCCATATTTAATGCTTTGCAATAAATTCGAAAATGAGTTTAACAAATGTTAACTTACGCCTTCCTTGAAACACGTTAATCCCGGATGAATTTTCCTTACGTCTTTCTGCCGCATGTCGATCAGCTTTTTAACGATCTGCAAAATATAAATTAGATATAGAAGGATTGTACACGTGGTCAAAGGATTTTTTTCGTAAATATAGTATAATGTTATCAGTAACTGCTCGAAACAGTCCACTCCTGGATTATAAGTGTCCTCAACATAGGTGGGTTTGCTATAATCTCCACTCTTAGCAGTCGGGTTAGAGCTAACAGTAGTTGAAGCATTATATAGGACAACAAAGAGTGCATTTAATAGTAATAATGTCTTGTTACCTCTTTCTGTCTCCGTATGATGGAAGTAAACTGCGTGTACACGATGCGTGGGTTGAGCTCGCAGTGCATGAGCGTGGCGCCCTCGTAGTCCTTGATGTAGCCCTGGTACATCGCGCGCGGTAACTTTATGTCCTTACTGAAACCTTGCTTCTTGAAGTAGCCTGGGGAAATTTATTTTTATTATTACTTACTTAGACTGCCTCGTTGGTCGAGTGGTCGCATGTGCGACGCGCGGCCAAAAACTATTTTTGTATATATTATATCACGAGAAATATGTTTTATAATAATAACTATCGTGAAACATACTAAATTAACTGAAATCACGGCTTACTCACGGGAATATACTGAGAAAAGCTCTACTAGTTTCGAACCAAGCGCGACGTCGCCGCGGTACTTCACGTGAGTAACCCGCGATTTCAGTTAATTTAAAATATGTTAAACATTAACTTTTGAATTAAAATGGTGGAACCCTCCACCATATACACACCATAATAATTATTTAATTTTGAACAATAATTAGAGTGAGTTAGACTGTGTTAACGTTGATACTATATAACATTTTCTTGCCAATTGCTAAAAAACAAACAGACTTTTAAGTTCACCTTAATATTTATTTATAATTTATACATGTGCACTCCATATAATATAAATATAATACAAACCGATAGCGAACTCATCAGCGAAGGTCAAGAAGTGTAGGATATTGTTCCTGATGTGGTAGTCCTTGAGGTGGTTCATCAGATGTGTGCCGTACCCTTTGACTTGCTCATTAGATGTCACCGCGCAGAATACTATCTCACTGAAACCCTGTTTAAATAGAGAAAACGTTAATTTGAAATGTTTCTAGTTCATTATAATAGAAAGGTTTAGGGCCATTTCGCTAATCTGTCTTAGTTTATATTATAACTTTTGTGCAACGTACTAAATTAATGATTATGTTTTTCGGCTTACTCACGTAATTATTTGACGAGGAACTCGACGGTAGCATCGCGATAGTCGCTGCTCCGAGGGTAGCAGAATGTTACTCATGAATATAAACCTCAAGCATGGCTTGAATTAGTCAAGTTCCTCGTCAATGACTTACGCGATAAGCCGAAAAACACAATAATGAACCTCTTCTAAAATTATAATTCTAAGGAACACATTAGAAAAACGACATTTCGTTTCTCACCAACTTATAAGTGACACGTAAAGGAAAGGGGTTAGTTTAGATGTATCAAACTAAGTAACGTTTAGTTAAGATATGGTTTAGAGGCGATTAGATAAAATGGCTATTGGCACGTAATATAGAATCAGAATTATGAGTCCTGACCGTGGTTTGAATTAGTCGAACAGTTAGGTGAGTAAATCCTTACTAATATTATAAATCGGAAAGTGAGTTTGTTTGTTTGTTTGTTCCACTTTCACGCCGTAACTACTAAACCGATTGCTTTGATTTTAATGAAACTACAGGTAGTTGGGTGCAGAGTGACGATTTTTATTCGTTTAAACAAGTACACATAGTTCATACTAGATGGCACTAGTAGCACCTTTAATTATTATTTTGTTATCTGTTTGTTCCACTTTCACGCCGTAACTACTAAACCGATTGCTTTGATTTGATAAAGATAATTTAATTTGATTGCATAAAGTTAGAAGTCTGGATATTTAATCCACATATATAGGGTACTTTTTATACCGGAAAAATTTTATATTCCCGAGGGAAAACAAAAGTGTTGGTATAGATGGCGCTGTGTATATTGGTATGTCACATAGGCTACTTTTTATCCTTTTATGACGCGAGCGAAGCCGTGGGTAAAAGCTAGTATTATTATAATTCCTTTAGAATGCCGTATAATAGTTCATTATTATCATCAACAGCCTATAAGTGCCTACTGCTGACCAAAGGCCTCTTCTCACACGGAGAAGATTTGAGCATTAACCACCACGCTTACTCAATGTGGGTTGGCGATTTCAAACTTATAATTAGAAATGCTAAGCCTAGGTTTCCTCACGATGTTTTCCTTCACCGTTTGTCAATGGTGTCTAAATAATCTTAGAAAGTACATATAAATCGGAAAATGTGTCATTGGTATTTGCTGTTAGTAGCACGCTCATGCATGAGAAGCGGGCCTCTTACACCTCCGGGCCACTACGACATTTATGATAATTGTACCTTTCGTGAGACATACTAAATAAATTATTATGTATTCGGCTTACTCACATAATAACGGCGGCGACTGTCGCGCTGCTACTGAAGTCGCCGCGTCGCGGGTCGCGAAATGCTGCTCATGAATATGAGCCTCTAGCATGGCTTGAAACTAGTCGAATCGTCGTCAAATTATTACGCCGAAAACATAATAATTTATTTATGATAGTTATTATAGACAAAATGTTTGCACTTGATCATACCTGTGAACTAAATGTCCTGAAGCAAATTCCACCAATGGGCCTGCCTTCCTTGATAAGTGCTAGGGTTTTGTGTTTTCTGAAAATATCAACAGTTATGTAGAAAAACTTGCAAAATGAATTATGCACATGATAACGTAACAAGTCGCAAGCGCGACTGCCGGGTAAGGGGTCTCGGGTTCGATTCCAAAGTCGGGCAAAGCATTACTGGGTTTTTAAAGAAATCTCAGTAGTAGCACGCAGTCTGGAATTGTGCCCGGTATATGGCAATAGGCTCACCCCCTATTACATGGGACTCATAACATAAATAGTAAAAAGTGGGTGTTACATTGTATAGTGGCACAATGTGCACCTCTGCCTACCCCTTCGGGGATAAAAGGCGTGATGTTATGTGATAAAGTAACAAATACACTTACGGATCGAACACTAATTGGGAGATATATTCTTTGGTCATTTCTGGTAGTTGGTGGGAGAATACATTGTGGAGACCTGAAATAGAAACAAAATATTATAATAACAGGATTTATTTTCATTTAAAAAAGGTATGTATATGTTTATTTATTATTGTTTGGGGATAAAACTTGAGTCCCGTATTTTATCCCCAAACATAAAAAATACCTATACAGCAGGACCTATAGATGATAAGGGTATTTTAATTTTAAAACTACTTAATAGGTACATAAATTATACAAAGTCTGTATCCATCTTTAGGTGTTACATATTTAATTCGACGTTTTTGAAGAAATCCAGTATTTTGGTTTGTCGTGTGGTGTTTAATGACAAATAAAATGCTTTGTCTCGTAATTTCAAAACGCGCAGGGGGGGGGGGGTCGGATTAAAGAGGTCCTGCTGTATGTATTTAACCACAAAGACAAATATATTTTAGTACATAAATATGTAAATGTATATGATTTCCTTACCAATAAGCCAGAGCATGGTCTGTTTATTGACAGGTCCAGTGAGTGAGTTTCCGATGACGTGGAACTCTATCATCTTGCGCTGCTCCTCCGACTTCGCAGCCTCGTCGCGAGGAGCTTGCATTTGGAATAGAGCCTGGAACGATAGATAAAAAGCTTTAATATCCATTTTTTATAGCCACCTGATGATGATCAACATGTTAAAGTGTGGGAGAGCTATGCTTCGGCACGAATGGGCCGGCTCGACCACTCCAGTCGAGCCTATCGATTTTTTTACTGAAAAAAATGCTAGAATAAATCAAAAATTAAGTATATCGTCAAATCAATGAATGAAAGTGTAACTACTTTACAAATTAAATTGGACTGAAAAACAAAAATAATATATTTTTGACCCAGGAAACTACCGTATTGTCTACAGAGATAACTCACATCAGGTCCACACATATAGTTAGGGTCTGTGATGGTGGCCACTATGTCCGCCACGGTCCGCTCGCTAACATCGTCGGCCGTGTCGTCCGCCACGCGGCGACGTTTGGCTGAACTTGCAGTCACCGTGTCACTTGCTCGCTTGCCTCCTTCTGTTTTTATTGAACCTGGTTTAATAATATTAATTATTATTAATGAATAATACACTTGTTATTCTCTAAGTCTCCTTTGTAGTTCAGGAGAAGCGATGAAAAGAAATATGTCTTGATTTTTAACTGATTTAAAAAAAAGAAGGAGGTTCTCATTTGGACCTGTATCTTATACTATTATATAAAGCGGAAGAGTTTGCTTTTTTGGTTGAACGCGCATATCTCCGTAACTACAAGTCTGATTTGAATAATTATTTTTGTGTTCGATAGCGCATTTATCGAGGAAGGCTATAGGCTATAAAACATCACGCTACGACCAATAGGAGATGAGCACCGCGCGGAAGTAGCTAGTGTATGTATATGTGCGTGACTATCTCGCAATTGGCTGAACCGATTTTGAAGCGGTATTCAGAAAAGTGTCTGTTACACCTAGCAGAAGTTTGAAGTCGGTTTTTTGAAACGTAGCTTACAAAATAATTATGACCTATTTATTTTGTTTCATAAATAAAGATATTTGGGAGTTCGCAGTGGCAGGAGAACTATTACTTGAAAGACAAAATATTCCTGAAACTTGACTGAGATGGAGCATGAAAATTATAATAAGTATCTTATTAAAATTGGTGACAGTTTTCAGTGCTCCAGAACCCTTAGCATTAGGATTTAGGATTGTATAATCGGTGACAAAGTTTCTCACCCGACTTGCCAGTTTAAGAATGGCATATGAATGATCATATTAATAACTCGACTTACGTAAGAGCATAAAGGTACTGTTACATATACTCTATATTATTAATTAAGGTAGTGTAATTAAAACTAAAAGGGTACGATGGGGTTGGCATATCCATGTGGATAAAAACCCCAAAATAAATAAATAGAAATAAAAAAAAAAAAAAATACTCTGAAATAGCATACTGCCACCCTAATACTTGAAGGTTACTCAATTTGAAGTTGTACTTAAGTTTCGTGCCATCTCTGTCATTTTACAAGGAATTTGTGGAGATAGAACTATACTTAAACGGAATAAAAGTATGTTCTTTTAGGCATGCTCAAAAATGTGCAAAACTCGAACGCCTGTCGATTCGTAAACATGCTTGAAATGAGCATGTAAGACGCTTAAAGCAACATTCCGTCAGAAATGCTAATAAGTGACAATTAGCATTTGTGACAATACCTTGTGTCAAATTATTATGTAATTTCGTCAATACAGTGGTTGGACAGTTAAATAAATATTTAGAACTGACCTGACGACAGTTGGACTGTAGTGAACCCATCTTTACTGTCTCCTGAAGCGGTCACACGTTCAAACTCGCCTCTTCTGCCCGCTACAATATAAGGGCCATTAATAAGAAGAGTTCATACATTTATATTGTATAAGTAAAAAATAAAATCAGTAATTTCACCGACTTTTGTAAAATTAAATTAGTTTTTTTATTGCTATGGTAATACTGACATGTATGTTTCATTACTAAAAGAAAAAAATATTTATAGATTTTGTGCTTCGGTAGATTGGTAGAATTTGGTAGGATTTTTCATTAAATAGGTTTATAATCTACTCGACCCATTAGAAAACTTCTATGTCCATAGGAAGGCTTATATTGCTTAGAGGAATATGCATAAATAAGTAATTTCTGTAGGAATATGTATCGATAAAACTAAAAACATAAATTTTTGAAATATTTGCATACAAAACACTAGTCATAAACAAAGTCTACTTACAACTGTTCTTATTGTCAAATATGGCCTGCAGATGGTTCGGTGGGATCTGCTTGAACTCTGGGTCCCATATCGGGGAGTTTGAACTGAAAATCTCCTCTTCTAGCAATGCTAGGAACCGAGGGAAGTGGGTTAGCACTAATACCTGAAATAAATCAATATAGAATATAAAATTACAATTTTAGATATTCTTACCGAGAACTTTCACCAAGACCTTCATAGTGGAGGTTATAGAAAACTTGTTAAAACACATCCTTAGATTATATTTAAACATATTTCAGATTTAAATTCGGGTGTCAGTGAACTTAGGTACAAAATTCTTTTACGCTCTAAAATTAAACTTAAAAAAGGAAGGAGAAACTAAACCTAAACTAAAAGAGTTATTTAGTAAGTTATAAATAGTGAATTACTTTCACTCATTATAAAGGCGGAACATATTGTTCCACTTTTTTTTCTATATTTAATGGGCCGACGTTTGACTTCTATCTCGCCTGGTGGTAAGCGATGATGTGGTCTACGATGGAGCACGTCGTCCCATAAGCAACCTATTCACTCGGACATTGAAGACACCTAGGTTATACTGGAAATACAGACTCTGGCAAATAATTCCATTCCTTAGCAGTACGCACAAGGAAGCTTGATGCGAAGCGCTTCGTACGTGTAGGTGGGACACGTAAGTTCATCTTTGTAAGTTCCATCACTTATCGTTAAGCTCGTTTATGTTGTATGAACATATATCCCACTTACTCTCTTCTCAGGCGGCATACGGTCCCTCTCAGAATGGCACTTGTCCATGAGTTGTCTGCAGACAGACTTGAACACTGCCCGCAGCAACGTGCGACCGAATACTAGTGACGTGTCGTAGTGAGGCAGTGAGTCACAGAACGCAGGCACGTGGCAGAATACTAACCATCTGGAAATGGTGAAGAATTTGTCATAATTGTGATTTGACATCATCACCATCAACAGCGCACGACGGGCAATAGCAGATCACAGTATAAAAGGTTCTGGGCGCTTACTCTTGAAACCAATTTCAGTCAATGCAATTTCAATCCAATAAAATCTCAATAATTCTTCAATGTGAAAACTATACAACCACTATCGTAGCTGTTAAAATAGCATTCAGATTACGGAATATAAAGCCAAACTCAATACCATTTAGTTCATTAAATGTCCACGCAATACGGATGCAATGGGCGCTAGTGTTGCAACTCAAGAGTACGAAATTTCACAATACCAATGTCGATCGATCGGAATTGGATTCAAGAGTAAGCCCCCTGTTGGTTAAAATAAAAGAGTTCCATACCTGGTGTAATTAATTTGGTATGCTGATATATCTTCCGGATTTGAGACTTGCTGAAAATAAAAATAAATGTAAACACATTGATGGTTTGAACAAGTAGGAAGGATGGATAAAAGTATATTTACGAAAGAAGTATACAGAGTGGATATGAAATGACCGTCGGTATAGGGCGCCTTAGACTGGCATATATCGACCAGATTGGCGAAATTTTAAAGAAGGGCAAAATTAAAAGTACTTTTAACCGACGAGCATGTATGAAATGACGGATGACGGAGGTATGTAAGAATCGTAGCCAGTGGCGTTCCATAGTCTCTGCCTACCCCCATGGCTCATGCCTGATAGCTTCGAGTTATACATGTATGTATGAGAAAAATACGTACCAATTTCCTAACACTAGGCGTCTCGAAGTTCCAATGGTTAAAACAGTGTAGGAACATTTTAGCCAGGTCATACATTGTCTGCCATTCCCTTTGCGGTAGAGTGTTGAACTTGTATAGTACAAAGTTAGTGATGGCTTTGGCTATGGAGGGTCGCTCGAACGGAGGCTGGCCCAGTGGGCCCTCGATGCGAGGGTGGGAACGGTTTAATATGCATTTGCGTAGTATCTGGAAATAAGAATATTGATTTATCACTATCAACATTATCCACATTAGTCCTTGTATGAGAAGCTGGATGGCTGCCCGTGGCAATATCATTGGATAAGCCCTCTGCCCAATATAAAAAAAACAAGCTCAAATAAGAATCCCTGAACTGGGGCGTTTCCCTGCTAAGAGCCCCAATTCAGAGGTTAAGCCACTGCACTCTGCAGTAATAAGATTTTTTTTGTTGTTCTTTGTTGTCAAATCATTTAACTAAACTATATTTTAATAAAATATTTTAATAAACTATATTTTAATAAAATATAGTCAAGCAATGGGCTAACAATATAACCTCGAATTGTGGCTAATGTGTCATGGTTGTTCCTTGCGACTCGAATATCAAAGTTATCAAACCCATGACCTAAGATTGACTGCACGGTTGGTGCGGTGGCTGGGCAACCGGCTGCCGTGCAGCGTGCCGCGGCGCGGGTTCGATTCCCGCACGGAACAACACTTAGTGCGATCTACAAATTGTTGTTTCGTGTCTGTGTGCCATGTGTATATGAATTTTTGTGTTTATAAACGCACCCACAACACAGGAGAAAATCCTAGTGTGAGGCAACATAGTCCAAACTAGAAATTATGAAAAGGAAGTTATGCACATACCTTAAACAAATAATAGTAAACGCGTTTAGTGTCGTGGTCATCCTCTCGGTGCATGGACATGAATATATTCTCGACGTCCACCACTGCTCCGAGCAGTCTGTTCACTTCCGCTACTGGTAATCCTTGCAGCTGAGTCACATGCTTTTCTACAAAAATATAACAAACATTATGATCTTACAGTCCTTAAGTAATAAGTTATATTCAGTAAATAGCTGTTGTCCACATCTTTGTCCACATATGAATATGATTCCTGTTTTAGAATATGTCCGCATAGAATATGTTTCTCATGGGAGCATTTAATCGGGATAGAAAGTGAGTATGCTATCATATAAGTGAGCCCATGCCCTCCCTGTATACCAAATCACATCAAAATCTGTTCAGAAGTTTCAGCGTGATTAATGCACAAATATCTAAACAAAGAATCTTTCATGTTTATAATATTAGAGTAATTCAGTTGTGCAAGTAGTTAAGTAACTATACTACCAATTACTAGAAGCAATTACCAATTAAGAATTTCCAGTAGAAAATCTCTCAGAACATTCTAAGGGCCGATTTTTCAATGCTCAGATAAATTTTACCTGAGGAATAACTATTAATATTTGACAATTCTTCCATACTAAAAAAACGGTAACCTTGTCTGCTTTCCCTCGCAGCACACAGTACAACTGGATTTCTTTATATTGCCACTATTATCTTGGAATGACACACCCTCAACTACTCCATTCTTCATTTTTGTCAAATCATTTGAATTTATATGCCCTAACCTTCTGTGCCAGGTTAAACTTGAAGTAACGGCTGACGCTGCAATCATCTGCTGAGATTTTACAGTATGCAATTTATACACCTCATTTTCCAACTTTGCTTCACCAATGCAGGTATCATCCGAGTTATAAATAAAACATCCTTGTTCATTAAACTCCACACGGTTTCCGCTTGCGATGATTCTACTCACTGATAACAAATTTGTGGTGAGGTTAGGTACGCACAAAACATTGTTTACATTCACTTCAAACTGCTTATTTCCAACTGCAGTCGTAATCTGTAAGTCTCCTGAGCATACAACGTCTATTGTTTGTTTATTTGCGACAATAATCTGCTTAGTTTTCGGTTGATTCGAAACATTTTTTAACATGTTTTTATTCGACACTAAATGATTACTTGCACCGGAGTCAATGTAGAAATCGTTCTGACTGAATTCATTTGTCAAAAATACTGCGCTAAATGCATTAACCTTAGATTTTTTGTCTTCCGGACACTGATTTTTATAATGCCCAACTTGTTTGCATTTGTAACAGCGAATTATTTTAGTTTTGACATTTCCACTAACAGTCGACTTAGGCTGCGTTCCATTACACGCGCTGGTGTTAAAATTTCTAGATAACGCTTTACTGCTACCTCCATTTCGTTTATGTGAATTTTTAACGAAAAATGCATTATCATTGTTGTCATCAAAATCTGAACTCATATCCAATAATTTGGTTTTTATAGCATCTGCACTTAGACTCATTCCCGAGTGCTCAATGGCCATGATCATTGGGCTAAACTTCTCTGGAAGACCCGCCAGTAGTAAAGAACCGATCCACTCATCGTTTATCTCAAAACCAGTACCTTTTAATTTTTGAGCTGTTTCCACCAACTGCGTCACGTATGCTGTCATAGATTCACTCGTTTCTAAGCGTATAGAAATTAAATTCCGTAGTAAGCTAATCTTGCGCGTGAAACCTGAGTCGTCGAATAAAGACTTTAGCTTATTCCATGTACCTCGTACTGTCGTTTCGCATTTAATATGTACATAAAGAGATGGGTCGACGGTCAATATCAACTTCGCTCTGGCTTTCTTGTCACTTGTTTCTTCTAGCACTTCATTACTAGACAAATTGACGCCTTCGAGGATTAAAAAGTTTTCCACTGCAAACGCCCAATCGTCATAATTCTCGCGCCCTTTCAACTTAGGCACGTTCACTGCATAACTTGCTGCCATTTTAATAACTGTGCACTATAAAAAACTGCCGAAAACTTCGCAAAAACTAATATATTTACAAGATCTGGGCCCATAACCTAATGAAACTACAGGTAGTTGGGTGCAGAGTGACGATTTTTATTCGTTTAAACAAGTACACATAGTTCATACTAGATGGCACTAGTAGCACCTTTAATTATTATTTTGTTATCTGTTTGTTCCACTTTCACGCCGTAACTACTAAACCGATTGCTTTGATTTGATAAAGATAATTTAATTTGATTGCATAAAGTTAGAAGTCTGGATATTTAATCCACATATATAGGGTACTTTTTATACCGGAAAAATTTTATATTCCCGAGGGAAAACAAAAGTGTTGGTATAGATGGCGCTGTGTATATTGGTATGTCACATAGGCTACTTTTTATCCTTTTATGACGCGAGCGAAGCCGTGGGTAAAAGCTAGTATTATTATAATTCCTTTAGAATGCCGTATAATAGTTCATTATTATCATCAACAGCCTATAAGTGCCTACTGCTGACCAAAGGCCTCTTCTCACACGGAGAAGATTTGAGCATTAACCACCACGCTTACTCAATGTGGGTTGGCGATTTCAAACTTATAATTAGAAATGCTAAGCCTAGGTTTCCTCACGATGTTTTCCTTCACCGTTTGTCAATGGTGTCTAAATAATCTTAGAAAGTACATATAAATCGGAAAATGTGTCATTGGTATTTGCTGTTAGTAGCACGCTCATGCATGAGAAGCGGGCCTCTTACACCTCCGGGCCACTACGACATTTATGATAATTGTACCTTTCGTGAGACATACTAAATAAATTATTATGTATTCGGCTTACTCACATAATAACGGCGGCGACTGTCGCGCTGCTACTGAAGTCGCCGCGTCGCGGGTCGCGAAATGCTGCTCATGAATATGAGCCTCTAGCATGGCTTGAAACTAGTCGAATCGTCGTCAAATTATTACGCCGAAAACATAATAATTTATTTATGATAGTTATTATAGACAAAATGTTTGCACTTGATCATACCTGTGAACTAAATGTCCTGAAGCAAATTCCACCAATGGGCCTGCCTTCCTTGATAAGTGCTAGGGTTTTGTGTTTTCTGAAAATATCAACAGTTATGTAGAAAAACTTGCAAAATGAATTATGCACATGATAACGTAACAAGTCGCAAGCGCGACTGCCGGGTAAGGGGTCTCGGGTTCGATTCCAAAGTCGGGCAAAGCATTACTGGGTTTTTAAAGAAATCTCAGTAGTAGCACGCAGTCTGGAATTGTGCCCGGTATATGGCAATAGGCTCACCCCCTATTACATGGGACTCATAACATAAATAGTAAAAAGTGGGTGTTACATTGTATAGTGGCACAATGTGCACCTCTGCCTACCCCTTCGGGGATAAAAGGCGTGATGTTATGTGATAAAGTAACAAATACACTTACGGATCGAACACTAATTGGGAGATATATTCTTTGGTCATTTCTGGTAGTTGGTGGGAGAATACATTGTGGAGACCTGAAATAGAAACAAAATATTATAATAACAGGATTTATTTTCATTTAAAAAAGGTATGTATATGTTTATTTATTATTGTTTGGGGATAAAACTTGAGTCCCGTATTTTATCCCCAAACATAAAAAATACCTATACAGCAGGACCTATAGATGATAAGGGTATTTTAATTTTAAAACTACTTAATAGGTACATAAATTATACAAAGTCTGTATCCATCTTTAGGTGTTACATATTTAATTCGACGTTTTTGAAGAAATCCAGTATTTTGGTTTGTCGTGTGGTGTTTAATGACAAATAAAATGCTTTGTCTCGTAATTTCAAAACGCGCAGGGGGGGGGGGGTCGGATTAAAGAGGTCCTGCTGTATGTATTTAACCACAAAGACAAATATATTTTAGTACATAAATATGTAAATGTATATGATTTCCTTACCAATAAGCCAGAGCATGGTCTGTTTATTGACAGGTCCAGTGAGTGAGTTTCCGATGACGTGGAACTCTATCATCTTGCGCTGCTCCTCCGACTTCGCAGCCTCGTCGCGAGGAGCTTGCATTTGGAATAGAGCCTGGAACGATAGATAAAAAGCTTTAATATCCATTTTTTATAGCCACCTGATGATGATCAACATGTTAAAGTGTGGGAGAGCTATGCTTCGGCACGAATGGGCCGGCTCGACCACTCCAGTCGAGCCTATCGATTTTTTTACTGAAAAAAATGCTAGAATAAATCAAAAATTAAGTATATCGTCAAATCAATGAATGAAAGTGTAACTACTTTACAAATTAAATTGGACTGAAAAACAAAAATAATATATTTTTGACCCAGGAAACTACCGTATTGTCTACAGAGATAACTCACATCAGGTCCACACATATAGTTAGGGTCTGTGATGGTGGCCACTATGTCCGCCACGGTCCGCTCGCTAACATCGTCGGCCGTGTCGTCCGCCACGCGGCGACGTTTGGCTGAACTTGCAGTCACCGTGTCACTTGCTCGCTTGCCTCCTTCTGTTTTTATTGAACCTGGTTTAATAATATTAATTATTATTAATGAATAATACACTTGTTATTCTCTAAGTCTCCTTTGTAGTTCAGGAGAAGCGATGAAAAGAAATATGTCTTGATTTTTAACTGATTTAAAAAAAAGAAGGAGGTTCTCATTTGGACCTGTATCTTATACTATTATATAAAGCGGAAGAGTTTGCTTTTTTGGTTGAACGCGCATATCTCCGTAACTACAAGTCTGATTTGAATAATTATTTTTGTGTTCGATAGCGCATTTATCGAGGAAGGCTATAGGCTATAAAACATCACGCTACGACCAATAGGAGATGAGCACCGCGCGGAAGTAGCTAGTGTATGTATATGTGCGTGACTATCTCGCAATTGGCTGAACCGATTTTGAAGCGGTATTCAGAAAAGTGTCTGTTACACCTAGCAGAAGTTTGAAGTCGGTTTTTTGAAACGTAGCTTACAAAATAATTATGACCTATTTATTTTGTTTCATAAATAAAGATATTTGGGAGTTCGCAGTGGCAGGAGAACTATTACTTGAAAGACAAAATATTCCTGAAACTTGACTGAGATGGAGCATGAAAATTATAATAAGTATCTTATTAAAATTGGTGACAGTTTTCAGTGCTCCAGAACCCTTAGCATTAGGATTTAGGATTGTATAATCGGTGACAAAGTTTCTCACCCGACTTGCCAGTTTAAGAATGGCATATGAATGATCATATTAATAACTCGACTTACGTAAGAGCATAAAGGTACTGTTACATATACTCTATATTATTAATTAAGGTAGTGTAATTAAAACTAAAAGGGTACGATGGGGTTGGCATATCCATGTGGATAAAAACCCCAAAATAAATAAATAGAAATAAAAAAAAAAAAAAATACTCTGAAATAGCATACTGCCACCCTAATACTTGAAGGTTACTCAATTTGAAGTTGTACTTAAGTTTCGTGCCATCTCTGTCATTTTACAAGGAATTTGTGGAGATAGAACTATACTTAAACGGAATAAAAGTATGTTCTTTTAGGCATGCTCAAAAATGTGCAAAACTCGAACGCCTGTCGATTCGTAAACATGCTTGAAATGAGCATGTAAGACGCTTAAAGCAACATTCCGTCAGAAATGCTAATAAGTGACAATTAGCATTTGTGACAATACCTTGTGTCAAATTATTATGTAATTTCGTCAATACAGTGGTTGGACAGTTAAATAAATATTTAGAACTGACCTGACGACAGTTGGACTGTAGTGAACCCATCTTTACTGTCTCCTGAAGCGGTCACACGTTCAAACTCGCCTCTTCTGCCCGCTACAATATAAGGGCCATTAATAAGAAGAGTTCATACATTTATATTGTATAAGTAAAAAATAAAATCAGTAATTTCACCGACTTTTGTAAAATTAAATTAGTTTTTTTATTGCTATGGTAATACTGACATGTATGTTTCATTACTAAAAGAAAAAAATATTTATAGATTTTGTGCTTCGGTAGATTGGTAGAATTTGGTAGGATTTTTCATTAAATAGGTTTATAATCTACTCGACCCATTAGAAAACTTCTATGTCCATAGGAAGGCTTATATTGCTTAGAGGAATATGCATAAATAAGTAATTTCTGTAGGAATATGTATCGATAAAACTAAAAACATAAATTTTTGAAATATTTGCATACAAAACACTAGTCATAAACAAAGTCTACTTACAACTGTTCTTATTGTCAAATATGGCCTGCAGATGGTTCGGTGGGATCTGCTTGAACTCTGGGTCCCATATCGGGGAGTTTGAACTGAAAATCTCCTCTTCTAGCAATGCTAGGAACCGAGGGAAGTGGGTTAGCACTAATACCTGAAATAAATCAATATAGAATATAAAATTACAATTTTAGATATTCTTACCGAGAACTTTCACCAAGACCTTCATAGTGGAGGTTATAGAAAACTTGTTAAAACACATCCTTAGATTATATTTAAACATATTTCAGATTTAAATTCGGGTGTCAGTGAACTTAGGTACAAAATTCTTTTACGCTCTAAAATTAAACTTAAAAAAGGAAGGAGAAACTAAACCTAAACTAAAAGAGTTATTTAGTAAGTTATAAATAGTGAATTACTTTCACTCATTATAAAGGCGGAACATATTGTTCCACTTTTTTTTCTATATTTAATGGGCCGACGTTTGACTTCTATCTCGCCTGGTGGTAAGCGATGATGTGGTCTACGATGGAGCACGTCGTCCCATAAGCAACCTATTCACTCGGACATTGAAGACACCTAGGTTATACTGGAAATACAGACTCTGGCAAATAATTCCATTCCTTAGCAGTACGCACAAGGAAGCTTGATGCGAAGCGCTTCGTACGTGTAGGTGGGACACGTAAGTTCATCTTTGTAAGTTCCATCACTTATCGTTAAGCTCGTTTATGTTGTATGAACATATATCCCACTTACTCTCTTCTCAGGCGGCATACGGTCCCTCTCAGAATGGCACTTGTCCATGAGTTGTCTGCAGACAGACTTGAACACTGCCCGCAGCAACGTGCGACCGAATACTAGTGACGTGTCGTAGTGAGGCAGTGAGTCACAGAACGCAGGCACGTGGCAGAATACTAACCATCTGGAAATGGTGAAGAATTTGTCATAATTGTGATTTGACATCATCACCATCAACAGCGCACGACGGGCAATAGCAGATCACAGTATAAAAGGTTCTGGGCGCTTACTCTTGAAACCAATTTCAGTCAATGCAATTTCAATCCAATAAAATCTCAATAATTCTTCAATGTGAAAACTATACAACCACTATCGTAGCTGTTAAAATAGCATTCAGATTACGGAATATAAAGCCAAACTCAATACCATTTAGTTCATTAAATGTCCACGCAATACGGATGCAATGGGCGCTAGTGTTGCATCTCGAGGGTACGAAATTTCACAATACCAATGTCGATCGATCGGAATTGGATTCAAAAGTAAGCCTCCTGTTGGTTAAAATAAAAGAGTTCCATACCTGGTGTAATTAATTTGGTATGCTGATATATCTTCCGGATTTGAGACTTGCTGAAAATAAAAATAAATGTAAACACATTGATGGTTTGAACAAGTAGGAAGGATGGATAAAAGTATATTTACGAAAGAAGTATACAGAGTGGATATGAAATGACCGTCGGTATAGGGCGCCTTAGACTGGCATATATCGACCAGATTGGCGAAATTTTAAAGAAGGGCAAAATTAAAAGTACTTTTAACCGACGAGCATGTATGAAATGACGGATGACGGAGGTATGTAAGAATCGTAGCCAGTGGCGTTCCATAGTCTCTGCCTACCCCCATGGCTCATGCCTGATAGCTTCGAGTTATACATGTATGTATGAGAAAAATACGTACCAATTTCCTAACACTAGGCGTCTCGAAGTTCCAATGGTTAAAACAGTGTAGGAACATTTTAGCCAGGTCATACATTGTCTGCCATTCCCTTTGCGGTAGAGTGTTGAACTTGTATAGTACAAAGTTAGTGATGGCTTTGGCTATGGAGGGTCGCTCGAACGGAGGCTGGCCCAGTGGGCCCTCGATGCGAGGGTGGGAACGGTTTAATATGCATTTGCGTAGTATCTGGAAATAAGAATATTGATTTATCACTATCAACATTATCCACATTAGTCCTTGTATGAGAAGCTGGATGGCTGCCCGTGGCAATATCATTGGATAAGCCCTCTGCCCAATATAAAAAAAACAAGCTCAAATAAGAATCCCTGAACTGGGGCGTTTCCCTGCTAAGAGCCCCAATTCAGAGGTTAAGCCACTGCACTCTGCAGTAATAAGATTTTTTTTGTTGTTCTTTGTTGTCAAATCATTTAACTAAACTATATTTTAATAAAATATTTTAATAAACTATATTTTAATAAAATATAGTCAAGCAATGGGCTAACAATATAACCTCGAATTGTGGCTAATGTGTCATGGTTGTTCCTTGCGACTCGAATATCAAAGTTATCAAACCCATGACCTAAGATTGACTGCACGGTTGGTGCGGTGGCTGGGCAACCGGCTGCCGTGCAGCGTGCCGCGGCGCGGGTTCGATTCCCGCACGGAACAACACTTAGTGCGATCTACAAATTGTTGTTTCGTGTCTGTGTGCCATGTGTATATGAATTTTTGTGTTTATAAACGCACCCACAACACAGGAGAAAATCCTAGTGTGAGGCAACATAGTCCAAACTAGAAATTATGAAAAGGAAGTTATGCACATACCTTAAACAAATAATAGTAAACGCGTTTAGTGTCGTGGTCATCCTCTCGGTGCATGGACATGAATATATTCTCGACGTCCACCACTGCTCCGAGCAGTCTGTTCACTTCCGCTACTGGTAATCCTTGCAGCTGAGTCACATGCTTTTCTACAAAAATATAACAAACATTATGATCTTACAGTCCTTAAGTAATAAGTTATATTCAGTAAATAGCTGTTGTCCACATCTTTGTCCACATATGAATATGATTCCTGTTTTAGAATATGTCCGCATAGAATATGTTTCTCATGGGAGCATTTAATCGGGATAGAAAGTGAGTATGCTATCATATAAGTGAGCCCATGCCCTCCCTGTATACCAAATCACATCAAAATCTGTTCAGAAGTTTCAGCGTGATTAATGCACAAATATCTAAACAAAGAATCTTTCATGTTTATAATATTAGAGTAATTCAGTTGTGCAAGTAGTTAAGTAACTATACTACCAATTACTAGAAGCAATTACCAATTAAGAATTTCCAGTAGAAAATCTCTCAGAACATTCTAAGGGCCGATTTTTCAATGCTCAGATAAATTTTACCTGAGGAATAACTATTAATATTTGACAATTCTTCCATACTAAAAAAATCGGACCTAAATAAGTTATCCTTGCTGGTCAATCTATCAACAATGTCAACAGCTAATTAGATATGTGGTTACAGATCGCTTGGTTTATTATAAAGTGCTGCCTTCTCTTCTCAGTCTTTGCCAATGTGCTTTGCAAATGTATCATCTATACAGATAAATCAAATTAGATTGTCTATTTGTAATATTAAAATAACCAATTTTTACTATATACATATAAATATACATAATAATATGATACACATACCAAAATTACATTTTTTACAATTTTTGTCTGTCTGTCTGTGTGTTTATATTGGCTAATCTCCAGAGATTCTGTCCACCCACTCCAGAGTGGGTGGACAGATTTTGACAGAACTTTTATTGGCAGGTAGCTGATGTACTAAGAAGTAATGTAAGCTACTTTTATTTTGGAAAATATAAGCAAAAAAATAGTTAAGTCCTAAAATTCACTATCTATACGGACATAGTTGCGGGTAACAGCTATTCATAACTCGTTGAGTACCGTCATTATAGACACAATTATAGAACAATAGCTTGCGGTCACCGCTAACCGCTTGGTGTTTGACAGTTTAACTCGTCGAGTACCGGTTTTGTAGACACAATTATAGAACAATAGGTTGCGGTCACCGGTGACCGCTTGGTGTTTGACAGTTTAAACCTGTTAATGGGTGGCGAGCTTCAATGTTAATAACTCAGATGTCAGTGTATGTAATTTGGCGACAGAATAAACCACAATATTCGTGAACGCACTTTTCAAAATGTATTCTGTACATGTACCTGTCTTGTGTGAGTATGATTGTCATTGTATGATTGGGGGGAGGGGTTTAATCTAAAGGGGGTTAATCATACGATATTTAATTGCCTACCCTGTCTCGAAAACCTGTGCACGCCACTGGTTAATGATATATCAAAACTCCAGCATATAAATTTTTATGTACCCCCTTTAGGTTGTAGGTAATGCAAAAATCTAACCCTGTCAACTAATTGTCTTTTACTTTAGAGAATACATTACAACAGAATATAATCTAGGCAAAGACTAGCTGCAAGAACCTTTGTAGTCAGTTTTATACCTTAACTTTTAATAACTACCAGTAAATTGGAGGTACGGTTTCCATTATTCAAAATACACTGCATTTTTACTTTTCGTGCAATCTTCCTTTCCAGCTCATTGCTTTTTGTTAACAATAAGTAAACTATAAACGTATTTACCTGGCATTCAGAGTAAATTGCTAATTTGAGTAACTTCTTGTTATGTGGCCAACCATAGACTTGTTGCTTTCTTTGCTGTATGCGCTGCAGATTGGACTGCCTGGAGGCCTGTCCCTCACTGCCTGCTGGTGTCGCGGCATTGCTGGACGACGCATCATCTGCATTTACACTTGATGAGGCTAAAATAAAATAAATAAATGATTACTCACAATAACTTAGTGTTAATGTTATTAAACTATAGATATGAGTTATATTTATTGAGTTTAGGAGTAGTAAACTATCTGAAGTTTCAGTTAAATAAAGTTTAAGAGTTGACACTGCAATAATTTTAAAACTAACAAGAAAACATTGTATTAAATACTGTCAAGATAATGTGAGAATTAAATATCATTATCTAAGTTTTAGTTATTACGTTCATCCAAATAATGTATGTAGTTTGTTGTCATTACATAAGTTTAGTATAGTTATAAATTGTTTATTTACCTTCGTGCCCGTGCGTTTGCGAGGAATCTGCTTCAGTTCCTGTCATACTTATGTCCGCAATTTCTTCATTCATTGGAACACTCATAATAAATGCTTCTTATCTTAAGCCTGCTAAGGCGCAACCGCAAGCGCAACAATAAAATCTATAAAAACATTAGAATAGGTCGCATTTTAACAATTTTTACCAGAAAAATCGACACCATTAATGTATTGTTTGACGTTTTGTTATCTGTCAAACAATGATTTTGCGGGCGTAGCGCAACTTCCACAGACAATAAATTCGTGTTATTTTCCTCGTGTCATAGACAAATGATCGAATAAAATTCGACTAAACGTTTATGGTTAAGGCGCGCTCTAGATGTAAAGTGACATCCCAGAGCTTTAGCGGGAAAATCGAGCGCGAGATTTCAAAATGGCAATCGAGCGGGAAGTCTTGCGAATGAAATTCAGTATTCAGTTTTATATTTTAGCAATATTTTGCATTTTCTTATTTTCATTATACATAATATTTATATTATGATCAAGGAATTAAATTATTGTGACTGAAATACCAACCAGAAAAATTAAACGAATACCTAAGCAATTTATTTTTCAATATAAATTAGTATTGTAAAATATATATTTTACACAATTCCTAATAACTATTACCTTCATGGTTATTGGAAATTATCGAAATTACTTTATTTATAGATGTAAATACGCAGCTCGGTGAATTTTCGTAGTTCGCTATAAATTGTCAGTTCTGGAAGTTACATAAAGAGCATCAGTGCGCGCGGGAACCCGGTTGAATCGGTCATGTTTTCTGCGGTTTCCAAATACACTAACTTTTCGTAACATTGTTTGATGTATAATAGTTATAAATTTAATTTATAACGTATGTGAAGGTTTAGTGTGCTTACAATTATTTTTAATCTACATTTCTGTTTACTAAAAAAATAAATTAAAAAAGTATTGTGAAAACTTTTTTCAAAAATGGATGCCAAATTATTTTTGCGTGGAAATGAGACTTATGACGATTTTTATAATCGATGTAACAATTTATCGCATTTCGACTGCAGTGAGGAGGAGATGTTATGGTGGTTGATGGGATCCAGACGTTTACCATTGAAGGAAATAGTGCCAATAAGTATTGTATTGGTGGTTATATTCCTGACTGGTGTTATTGGCAATGCGTGTGTGTGTGTGGTGATTGTGAGACATCCTGGTTTGCACACTGCGACCAACTATTATCTCTTTAGTCTGGCTGTTAGCGACTTATTGCTGCTGTTATTTGGTAAGTTAAAATTTTTTACGACGATGCTTGTTACACGAGTAATAAAGCACTTTTATTGCTGTTGTTACAATTGTTAGTTCATTGTGCAGATGTACATATCCTTTTTACGTCCTAGATTAAAAACAGTACGTACTAGGTAGGGACTGAGTATAGGGTAGATAAAGAACTCTTGGTTTTTAATCATTTATGCGGGTATTTTGAATTTAATAAAAAGATAGAGTTGTGTATAAAATATCTGTTGGCTAATTTCGTTTTAGTTCTAAGATAATTTATTTACATTTTCAAAGTCAAAGTCAAAGTCAAAATCATTTATTTCAATTAGACCAGGATGGCACTTTTGAACGTCAAACAAAAAAATTTATAAGTGAAGCTAGTTGCTCATTCCAAGGCGTAGATTCCTATGGAGAAGAACGAGCAAGAAACTCCATAGGTTACTCTTTTTCAATCAGGTTTACAATACAATTCTCTAGTTACATAGTTTTATTGGTTCGATTATCATATCGTCCTAAATGTCCACTGCTAAACAAAGCCTTCCTAATTACTTCAAATATGGTTTGCCTTTAATTCCCACAGGCACTTGGGCGACATGGAGATTGTAGCAGCGTGCAAAATTTATAGGTGGCCCTCCGTTTGAAATACAAATAATTAAGCACGTTACAAACAAACAAATTATCGAAATCTGCAAGATTTTTCGTTTTCTATAAGTTTCAAAAGAATCATTCGATTTTACGATCGAAATGGGTCTTCGGTCAACTTTGGAACAACCGAGTTTAGAGCACATTTAAATAAATTTCGAGTCGTTAGCGGCTAGGGAACAATAAAGTGGGTACATATTTCATAAAGTTTCAGTTTCTCCAAGTAATTATTCGTGTTGTGAATATTGATCGTTTCTGATGATTAGCATCTTGGAGTACCTACCTAATGGTACTGTTGTTTATTCATCATTATATTTTAGGTATTTGGAATTCTGAATTCTGCGATCAGCCGATAAAAGACGGGATCAAGATTTCAGAAACTTCTGCGATTCCCAAGTCCAAGCGTTGGAATGATGAAAAGTTGCCTGCGAGGCCTGAGAGCCTGGCGAGGAAAATTTTTGTGCAGTTGTGGACGGACGTTCATACCTATCCTAATGATGACATACTACTTAGATATATTTTACTTAAAATACCTATTTTTCTCTATAAAATCACAAATTACCCATGGTTACTACGTACCTACTTAATGATTATATCAGTTCGTATTACCGTAGAATCTAAAAAAAGAAAAAATCATTGGAATTCATATATCAACGTAATCATACAATGAGTAGGATAGATAGATTGAAATGATTTTGAAAAATCGTAAAAAGTAGTCTTATAATGGGGTAGACGACTAATTTTTATTTCAATGTCCGTCTGGTAGATTATTTAAAAACATTAGACACGTATTTTTTATTTTCTTACGGAAACAAATAGTTTCGAAGATATATTGATTTGAAATGTCGCGTGACGTCACTTCTCAGTACATTTTATACTAAGAAATGACGTTTTAGCCCCCACTCCTAAACTTTGATTCGTTTTATCTAAGTATTGTTTTATTATACAACAAAATAAAAAAATACGTGTCTAATATTTTTTTATTACCTAAGTTACGGACTAATTATATTTTTAATTTTCATACCCTGTCATCATCCCCACTAGGATATAAACTACATTTTTTTTATTATATAAAAACGTTGCCCCACACTAGGGTTTTCTCCTGTCGTGGGTGCGTTTACAAACATACAAGTTCACATACACATGACACCCAGACCCGGAACAATAATCTGTGGATCACACAAAGAGTTACTCCGGCGGAAATCGAATCCGCGACACGTTGCGCGGCAGCCAGTTGCCCAGCCACTGCGCCAACCAATTTTTACCAAATTACCAAATCTAAAAATCAACATTTACCAAACATTATGATTATTACCAGAGGACAACTAAAAAGTTCCGTTACAACTACTTGAATTAGGCAAATGTCTTCTTCAATGGCGTCTACGGTTTTATTCTTTCAGACATATACGATCAGTCTAGATTTCTGTAGGTAAGCCTGTTTTATTATACGTACCTAAATCTTTTTCTAGACGTGCTATAATCCCTGTTTAGTTTTGTGATTAATGGACCTAGCTTCTCGTTTGTCCTACAGATAAAAATTAAGATAGTTACTAAAGTCTGTATTTATAACAAAATAAACTACGGATGGAAAACATTCGTGTTTTAACTTCATAACTATCTTTATACTTTATAGATTTTTTATATTATCAAAGTGGTAAAAGGCTCCCGATTCGCTTGAGAGAAGGCAATTACCGTAGGCGTATGGAAAAAACCTCCTGACTTATTTTACCTAACCGTGAAACGTCGCACGATATTTCAAGTCAATGATTTTATTTTTATTCCATAATAATTTGCCTAATAATATTATTTCCATCAATTCTCACGAAATTACCTTATTTCCGAGTTCTTTGATTTTCAAATAACCATCCATAGAATGTCAAAGATTTTCAGAAATATAGCATGTCAATTATTATTATGGGCTGGACATTTCTTTTCAGTATATAGCTGTCTATTTTATTTTCCTTATATATATATTATTGAAAATATCTGCCGTACACGTGTCTTCAGAATCAGTGACTCGTGAATTTTGTACATTCCATCATCATGAAACTCGATTTGGTCGCTTAGCGAGTAGCCTTCGCCTTTAGAAAGATATAATGATATTGTACCGGCGATAAATTTTTCCCTACGATTAGACTACTAGGCGTACCTGTTCGATTTACAATAGGTTTCTTTATGTAATTTTCTATTATGGATATCCTTATCTGCTAATGCTTTTAGTTTTGATTACGTTAGTCAAAGAGCCTATGTAATTAGGTACATATTATAATATATCCTAGGGATGTGCTGTAACAGGACTAACTGGCGTTGCACTGTAGGGTTTCCGGATTAGGTGCTGAGGGTCGCTGAGGTACGAATCGCACACTTCCTAGTCTTCCTTCTCAAAAAATAGGCGCTTTTTAAAGATTTAAGGGGGAAAATCATCGAATGGCTGCTCCCGCAAGGGTGAGGCGGGAGGGAGTGTCAGACTCTTACTGACTAAAAACCACCCCGTTCCGGTAACCTGTTAGGTTCTCCGCGACTCCGAATCGGCATCAGCCCTGCTGGGCCCCATCCGTGGTGGTCTGATGGCTCTTTGAGGCGCGCGCGGAACGCGATGCGCCGTACGCTCGGAACGCGCCGTACGATAAAGATTAGCCTTCCTGTGTTAAATCACCACATTATAATTTACACGAGATTTGTTCGTAATTCGACTTTGCAATTCGAATGCAACCCACACGCTCACGCTGAAGGTAACTTAATCCAGATCTCAGGTGAAACTTCAGGAAACTTTAAGGAAGTCTTCGTCTACATGTAGTTGTCAGATAAACTCATTTTAACTTAATTTTCTTACATCGCACACATGGAATGAAACGTGACTGGAAAGATAGAAATATGAAGGCGAAGTTCCTAAACACTAGGTAACCATGTAGGAAGTTTAAAAATGAATTTATCTTCATGAATTTTTGCTTCGTAGAGTTTTTCTTTGTCAGGAACCAAATGATGAAAAATAGACGTAAATTCTTTATTTCAACGTCCAAAAGAAATTAAAAACAATACTTGGTGTCTAGAGAAACATTAGGGAAACGCAATGGTTTTAGTGTGAGGTCTCTTATACATTTACGAGTGTCTTTTTAGTAGGCTGGGAACAATTTAGATTTTTAGGCACGAAAACTTGGTATGTAATTGAAAATGACCTATTTTCCTTAGTTCGTTTTACTTTAAACGAGTTTTTCCGCTTGCCTTATTTTGCCGGGTTTTATCTGAAACTTTTATTGAAACACAAGGCCAAAAATATGAAGTTCGTAAATCACGTTAGTACAAAAAAGGATAACTTTGCCGTTTTTAGGATATCCTATCCAGAAAAAGACCTTTATAAACCTAAGTAAATTTTTGTGTCCGTGGCGTGAATTCAGTAGGAATAAAAATATGACAAGATGTCTATTTTAAATCTTAAATATTTACCTAGTTATGCTTCACAATTTTTATAGCATCCTAATTGAAATAACGAAATCATATAGATAATAAGTATTACTGAAGCAGGTATAGGTGACTTACTTACTTGACTTAAGTTCCTATGTCCCCTAAATGGGGCAGTGGGCGTCCATAAAGATCCTCCATCTCGATTGGTCTTCACGGTTTACCTCGTTCTACTTCATTCCGATGCCCGCCGCTTCTGGCACCACAGCCGCCAGGTTTGCCGAGGACGGCCACGCTTCCCTTTTTCCTGGGGATTCTAATCCATGGCTTGTTTAGGCATGTGGTCGGGACCTTTTTGGAGAGTGTGCCCAATCCATCAGAAGCAGGTATAGGTTTAATTAAGACATACGTATTATCGATTTTAAAAACTTGGGTCTGCACAAAATTCACGAAACTGAAAGCTTTGTACGAGCGACTGCGATCAATATTGATTACTTTTTTCTTTTGCATCAGACCTGCCAGCTATAGTGCACGATTTTAATTGGATTTTCTCATAGTCTGAAGTGTTTTTATAATATTTTGAAGTACCTACCTACCTTAATAATTTAATCGTTTTCAATTACTTATATCATTATAAATATATTTTAATTGTTTGATATTAACTTTTGGTTAGTTATCAATTTCATCAGATGATTTTACCTCTATCATATTTACCTAGATGATGTTTTTACGCTATAGCATTGATAAACTTCTTTTTAAATAAAGATATATTACTTAATATTATATTAAGTTTGCTTTATAAAAACTTATCGCGATACTATTTTTAGGAAGTTAAACAACGATATTTCTTGTTAATATTCTAGGTAGATATCATTTCGAAACAATAAAGAACTGTTTTAATAATTTTAAATCTATTTCGTTATTTTATACCTACATCAATATTATGTTTCTGCTACATTATGTTAAGTAGAATGTGCTAGTAATGACCATAAAGTTTATTTAGTATGATTTAGATTAAGATTTTTTTTACTGGGGGAAAATCATCGAATGACTGCTCCCGCCTGGGTGAGGCGGGAGGGAGTGTCAGACTCTTACTGACTAAAAACCACCCCGTTCCTTCTCCTGCACGTCGAGTCGGAGCCCCGGTTACCCGTTAGGTTCTCCGCGACATTTAAATTAAGATTAACGAGTACCTACTTCAGTTGTAAAATCGTGTACAGAAATCCGTTCATTATCACTGAAAATTAACAATTCGGTTTGGGTAAAACTCTTTTAAGCTTTAAATTAATGGTTCAATAAAGCTGGACAGTTCCATTACCGTCTAAATAATTAATTGACCTGAATTAACATGTCGTCGGCTACGGCTATGAGATAAAAAATACATCATGTTCTGCTACGATCCGCGATGATTTTAGGAGATATGATTTAAATGATTTAAATATAATTTTCAAATTACGTAGGTAATTATTATATAGTTAAATAATTAAAACTATAGGTAGATAGGTAGTAGATACACATAATACTTTATAATATGTCCTGTGGGTAGATAAATAAATGAAAAGAGGCAAATAAAAATAAATTTTACTATGGGTGAGATTTTGTAGGAAATGTAGTTGATAGAAGTTTTTATAAATTACTTAGCAATTATATCCAGAATAATCAATACATTGACTGCTTTGTCCCTACATTTGTAGGTAATAGTTTTATTCAGACAGAATTTTTGGTTAGGTCACGTATGAATCTAGGGAACGTTCTACGTGATTGATATTGTGGGACATAGTTCCACATAGTATACTTGTTACTAGCGGCACATTTTATATTTATGAGTGATTTTATATAGGTTTATTTTATTTCATATACGTTGTTATGAGTGATTTTCGTTCGTTACACAAAGGTTATTTTTAATAATAATCTTTATTTACTAAAAACAAGCGAGTAGCTTACAATTTATAAAACCTCTGCTTCCCAAACTAGGTGATCCTGTATTTTGGGAGTCCGTGAAGGTAGATAAGGCAGAAGTAAAGCAAGTGCTTAATGACTTGTATATCACCATACTAAAAATGATGCTAATTTATGTTTTACTAGCTAATACCCGTGGCTTCGATCGCGTAATTACAGACTTTTCACTTTAAGCCTAATAGTAAGGGAGCCCACGATGCTAAATTGGGATTTACTTGAGCGTCCTTGGGACCTACTGGATTTTGAAGATATGCTGATAGAAAGAAGAAATGGTTTAGTGACAATTTCTTCCACCAGTGGGGGAAGGGGGAATCTACAGATCTTTGAAATTGTTAAGCGTAACTTTTGTTCTAATGGTCGAGCGTGTCAGATATTGATAATGTACATGCTCCATGTGTATTTAATAATAAAAAACTCTTAATCTGCCAGTTTGCATGGTGGGGTTGAATGTTCTGGAGAGTACAAACGGGAACCCTTCAAAATCCCCCCACTCTTGCAAATCAAGTTGGAATGGGCAGATTTTTTAAACGCACTTCCTTTAGCACGGTATTGACCTACCTTCCCTTAATCTGACGAAACTGACTTTATTTAGTCAGATTTTTTTTTAATTTTCAGTCCCCACCTTCTAATCAGATCGAATATATGTTGGGTATATTCAACATGACACTAGGTTTTCCCCATATGTTAATCGAGTAACTACCGAAATCCCTTCATGGGCTCCCCTACTATAACCTACGAATGTAAACCCCGATAAATTCGATTCACCGTAAGCCTTCAAAGTCAAAGGTCAATGTCAAAGTCAAAATCATTTATTTTAATTAGGCCAGAAAGGCACTTTTGAACGTAACATTTTCAGTGACTCCGAACACGAAATTCCATTGGCGATGCAATATTTGAAACAAAATCTTTGTTCGATATTTTTGTCCATTATGAAATTCGCAATACACACTATGTATGATATTACTAAAACCAGCACTGTATTTAATATAAATAACAGATGTAACTCTACCTCCGCGCCAAAAGGAAAAACAGTTAAGCCAATCTAACAACTACAAAAAAACAAAAATTTTATTTTGGAACCATAGACAAATCATCCATTACCGATACTTTTATTGACTGAATGTACCTATATGTGAACGACATATTAATATATTTGTTTTAGATCATTAGGTACTAATTCTTTAGATCAAAAATAAGTTACTTAGCTCGTCGAGTACCGTCATTATAGACACAATTATAGAACAATAGGTTGCGGTCACCGGTGACCGCTTGGTGTTTGACAGTTTAATTAGGTTCTGAGTAGGCAGGTGCCATTATGGTACAAAGATTGTTTTATTCACCTCGTTCCAAGTAAGAACAACAATTATGTTGAGGAACAAGGACTTTACTTTGTTAATAAAGAAGGTGGGCATACCTTGGGCAAAGTTTAGGGATTTATCGTTTGTCAATCTAATTTATTTTCCATCAAAGTTTTATCATTTGTGTATCTTATTGTCTACTGTCGTGTTATTTTGTATTAAACATGGAAAACTTTGTTTCCTATTAAATAGTTGACTTTTTGTTAATAATTAAAGCTTAATAGGTACATGGTTAACAATACAATCTTCATAAAATATTTTCAACGAATAAATTGATTAACTTTGAAAAAAACTTTAAGTTCGGACGAGCTCTTGTTATCATATAAAACGGTTTTCCTAAAAATGTCATAAATATTTAATCAGGAACCAAAAATAGTTATGAAAATTTTCCACGTTCACGTTTTCCGTTTATTTAAATTATTTTCTTTGAGGGGTTTTCCTTCACCTAAATTTTTGTTTGAGATAGGAGGTAGGAAATGAATAATTCATTGACCCGTATGAAGGTTCGAATCTGTCAACCCCTACGATCACGATCGAAAGACAACTTAATATTTGTGGGTGTAATCAATTTGTATAAGGATAAAACCTAAGTAGGTGGTAACTATATTTATTAGTATATAGGTACATATATTTTGTTTTTCCATGAATTGGTGAGTTTAGCTTTTTTTGTCAGGGAGGCTGAATTATCAAGTTACTTTTTTGGCCACCTTTTCCAAATTGATGTATATTGTACGTGAAGCGAGTGCCATCTATCTACCTAGCCACTGTAACCCTAAAGCCAGACTATTAGCTTTATCTAAGCCCTAAGTGTTAAAAAACTTCGCACTCAACAACAGTACCTATCTATTCTATAAAATGTAGTAAAATAGCTATTCGAATAAAATTGTAACACAACATACAGCTTTAAAACGTAGTTATATTTCTAACATAATATGTTTGAGAGCAACTCGACAGTTTTCCACACGAATGCACAATACTGAGCGTAGAATACAGAATACTCCTTTGAATAAAATTATCTTATTCTTTTTTATTGGAGTACAATCTGCTATGTTAGTGCAATGACATGACTTTTTTTTTTAAATTGGGGAAAATCATCAAATGACTTCTCCCGCCTGAGTGAGGCGGGAGGGAGTGTCAGACTCTTACTGACTAAAAACCACCCCGTTCCTAGCCGCACCGAGCTCCGGTAACCCGTTAAGTTCTCCGCGGCATCTGTGGTGGTCTGATGGATCTTTGAGGCGCGATCGGAACGCGGCACTCCGCACGCTCGGGACTGGTTCTGGTCGGGCGGCGAGCTACACTTGCTCGCCGTCCGCAGGCCCATGCTTACGGTGGCCGGAGAAGACATGACATGATAGGGACAATTTTTTAACGAGATGAATTTTTGTGTGATCCACAATTCCGGTTCTAATTGTGTTACGTATGTGATTAAGTGTTCAGTGTTTTTCAGTGGGGCAACGTTTGAAAATATAACCTGCCTTTTTGTCTGCTTTGTGGTTATGATCACTGATGATTATGATTATGAGTATTCACTGATAAAATTAACTGCTTTGTACAGTTTAATACTAGCATAGAGGTTGTTCCACTATCCCTTTAACTCCGACCCTATGGTCTGGCATTGACTTGTCTGGTATACAAACTAGAAGAGATTGAATGGCTCCCTAGAACGAGGGCTGCCATTCGGAAATGGTATCGATAGCTGATTGAGGTTAAATCTCATTTAACAAAGAATCGATTGTAGAATGAATGCATTAGTGTTAGATAGTATTATTTATTTCATTTTGTTCAATACAAAAATTGCATTTGATTAAAATTTGTTATGGGTTTTTAAAAGTGTTATTTAAGTTAGTAACGAAAAGTGAAAACATTATGCGTTTGTATGTGATCTCATGTTTGATCTTAACATATTATACATATACGTACCTACCTACCTACTGCAGTAAACGCGTGCCTATCATTACGAACACAACTGGAACAGTTAACCACGAAGGAATAGTGAGAACTCTATTAGTTCATTAACCTAGGCAGCACTATAAGCCTTGTGCAATAGCATAGCCTAATGTTCCTACAAACCAATTTCACGTACCTACGATACACAACACCGCGTGTTCTTAATGGTTCTAGGGCTTTCTGCGTACACTATGCAGCCCTAATGTTCTATGAAAATAGTATCAAATTGTATGGTAATATTGGCAACAGCTGTGTACGCATTTCCCATTATTATTCTGAAATGTGATCGCCATAAACCTCTTATTCAAAATAGGGGAATTTATTGTATATATCTTACTTTTTCGCCTAAAACAGCTCAAAGCCTTAAAGAGCTTTATAACATAGTATATTGTGTTGTTATACTCTCCACTTTATCTGTTTGTGGTATAAAATATTTTAATGTTGACATAAAATAGCCAGACTGCTATTAGCCGAGTGCTACTGCCGAGTAAGGGTTTTGACTTGATTTCCGGGTGGGACTCAAGTGTTATTAGACCTTTTCGGTATTTAGATGTACTGTAGTGGATTTGAAGAGTCTGAAATGTTGAATACACAATGTCTTTTTTGTTACAGGGCTCCCGAACGACCTCACAGTTTATTGGCACCAATATCCATATAGCTTGGGTATCGTATTCTGCAAGCTGAGGGCACTTATATCTGAAGCGTAAGTATTATAAAATAATAATAAAACACAATAATACCACTTTAACAAGTTTCATAAAAGTACATGATAAATAAACTGAAAGATAAGTAATACAAACTATATACATATATCCATGTCGGTTTCGACTACGGCGAATACGATTTTACTTTTTTTTTATTAGGGACCTTGGTGCTTTGCTCGCATATTGCTTATATACATGGGTGTCCATGGGCGGCGCTGATCGCTTACTTTCTATTCCATAAATAAAAAATACCCTATTTTTGCCACAAAAGTTTTCATACAATAGGTGCACGTTATAATGGCAGACGGTTTCTTTTTGATCTTTACTCGCTTTTCGTCTAGTTTTCGCCTCCTATTGGTCTCAAAATGATTTGCGCTTTTCTGTACCACATGCCTCCATTCAGGGCGATCTACAGCCAAAGACTCCCAACGAGAAGGTTCGAAGCCGCATCTTTTCATATGTCTTTTCTGAATGTCCTTGAAACGTAGGAACTGGCCACCGAAATATAAACTATCCGTAGTAAAATAATCTATTCTTGATAATTACGATTAGGGTCGTCAGATTTCAGGAGTTCGATATTTCTTTCGTCACCTATCTAAAGATTGATACTTAGCCCCCAACTAAGTAGTTTATAGTCGTGACAGGTACCTAACTACAAACTCTTTAAGCGTACCTAATTTTTAACTTAAGAAATGAAATATTCAGTCCCAGAGCCAAAGTCTCTTTTCAGTATTCATTCGATGCTGTGAACTGAATAAAGTGCTTACCATCAATTGCTCGTTTCCTTGTTGTTCGTAATGGGCGGTAATAGATTTTTATTGCGCAGTTTCATATTTCATAAATGTGGTATATTTTTATGCGGTGTATTTTTCTATAAGAAGGTATTATCAACTATATGTTAGGTATATAGAACTCGTATTAGACGGGACTTATAAAATAGCTTGTGAATAAAGTAGGTGTTTATGTGCAATGGTGGTAGCTACCGTATTTTTCCTAAATAGATTTTTTCCTATACGGAATTCTCTAGTAGATATTACACCATTGGACGTTTAATATTTGATAAACTCAAACTCAAACTCAAAAGCATTTATTTCAATTAAACCATAATTTGGTACTTTGAAACATTAACAAATCCTTACTAATATTATGAATTGGAAAGTGAGTTTGTTTGTTTGTTCCGCTTTCACGCCGTAACTACTAAACCGATTGCTTTGAATTTTTGCAGATGTAAAGTTAGAAGTCTGGATTAAATAATAGGGTACTTTTTATCCCGGAAAAAAATGATATTCCCGAGGGAAAACAAAAGTATTGGTATAGATGGCGCTGTGTGTATTGGTATATGTCACATATGCTACTTTTTATCCTTTTGTGACGCGAGCGAAGACGCGGGTAAAAGCAAGTATGAAATAAATAATTGTCTGTCAGTCTGTCCGTCAGTGAAGCTAGGCGCTCGTTCCAAAATGTCGATTCGAGTGGATAGCTGCTGTTATTGAACAAAAAACACCTTTGTACATAAATTTACGGCATCCGGTGACCAAAAAAAAAAACGTGAGCCGTCATTGTGCACCCATTACCCACTCGAACGTTATAACCAGTGATATTGTGTGTGTGATAAGCTCGTAAACCAGCCGATGCATCACCTGATGGTAAGCAATCGGCGTCGCCCGTGGACACCTGCAACATCGATTGGGAATTTGAGGATTGTTGGGGATTCAGAGATTGAGGAGGGACGAAATACTATGCGTTAAGCGTTGTTTCACGTCGGTTTTCCATATGGCCGTGGTATCCGGTCGAGCCGGCCCATTTGTGTCGAAGCACACTTAAGGGTATAGAGGTAGAATAGTTACTATTAGGAGACGTGAAGTGTTATGTAATTCTACTTACTAGACCTAGTCCACTAGCAATTTTTCTTTGTATAACTTAAAAACTAAATTATTTCTTTACAACAAAATGCTCTCATTTTAAAGATTACTAAATTGCCTTATAAACGACATACATAAAATAACATCACGCCTGTTAGCCCTGAGGGGGTAGACAGAGGTGCACATTATGCGGATTATGCCACTGTACAAAAACCCACTTTTCACTAATTTATGTTATGTAATAGGGGGTTAGCCTATTGCCATATACCGAGCACAATTCCTGGCTCCGTCCTAATACTGAGAATTTTTAAAAAAACCTAGTAATGCTTTGCCCGCCCCGGGAATCGAACTCGAGACCCCTTGCCTAGCAGTCGCACTTGCGATCACGCGGCCAACGAGGCAGTTATACGACATAGGTTACCAATTAATTAAATACTTAAATTGTAATAAATAATATTTATCAAGAATAGATAATGGAAAAACGGTAGTGGTTCCTTTTCTTTGCTCTCAAGTGTATAAATTCAAATAATAACTTTCCTTACTGTACCGCAATTCAATGTATAAATTCAACTGCTTATTAAAATGATTTCAAACCAGAAAGTTCATCATTTAAACTTCATTGAAAGAGCAGGAAATGAAACAAAATGAACGACTCAAATGGAATTCCAACATCTTAAACTCTAAGGAGAACTTTTATTGAAATAATTTCACCTAATTGGTTTGAAATTTAATAAATGAATTAACTGAAGGCCTTTTTTGGGCCTAGTGATTGTGGAATATAAAGCTGTAGTTAGTTTCGATTTTAGTGTTTGTCGAGTTATTATTGAGGTCAACTTGGGTCAATCGGGTAGCTTCCTAGGTTTAAACTGTCAAACACCAAGCGGTCACCGGTGACCGCAACCTATTGTTCTATAATTGTGTCTATAATGATGGTACTTGACGAGTTAAAATAAATTGCTTCAACTTTTCAATGTAATAAATAATTAAAAAATAATCATACCTACTCTCATCCATCGCTTTGACAATTTACCTACTTTTGGATTTTGTCTCGCAAATTTTAAGGAAATAAGTATGCTGTTTGACGCAGAAATATGATGACGTCATAAATAGCGATCCAATACAAAATTCATAGAAAAGTATCGTTTCTGAAATTTCAATAAAAGTATTGAATTTGACTTCCTGTCAACTACCGTATTCAATATATTAGTGCTTTAGTAAATAACGTTTAAAAAGCCGATTTCAACCCCCTCTATATTTGACATCGGTTAATTAATATACTAAAACCTTCTCTTAAGGGCACCGAACACTTTTCTGAAATAACATTAAAATCGGTTCCGCCAATCTCGAGATAATGTCGTACAAATATACATACATTCATACATATGTAATGTTATAATAAGTACTAGCGACCCGCCCCGGCTTCGCACAGGTGCAATATGCATGTATTATACATACAAACCTTCCTTAAGAATCACTCTATCTATTAAAAAAAACCGCATCAAAATCCGTTGCGTAGTTTTAAAGATCTAAGCATACATACGGACATACAGCGAAAGCGACTTTGTTTTATACTATGTATTGATGTACTTATAGGTGAAACTGACAATCATCTTTGTTTTTCTTTTTGAAGTCGGTTACAAATTAATATTGAAATAAAACAAACCTATTTATTTATAAGTACCTACGGACAGCAAACAGATATTATATTAAAAAATTGTCTTTCAATGACTCCAAGACAGGTCCATTGGATATTTACAAACACAATACGATATTTTTTGCACAAGAAAATAAGGGGAACTATACTAAATCAATGTGGGGTAGCATTTATCCAAATAAGTTTAATGTATATGTTGGAAAAATGGAAATTCATGGTCACATGCGGTGTTTTACTACGGACATGATTTGTTTTTCTTTTGTATATTGGCACAGTTCCAATCCTCTATCACATTTCTACCTGCCACAAAGTGTTGGGTACGTTTCAGAATTACCTACAGATCTCTCACGGGAACAAACTGGAACTGTTTCATCACATGTAAAAGGATTTTTCAGTATTTGTTTTCCCTTACTGAAATTTTCGAGCAAAAACGTCAAATAGAGGTATAGTATATTATATTACTTATATTTCTATGTCAAAACAGCTATTGTTATTTGTCAATTGTTATCTACTCATATTGTTGACATAATACTATTTGATTTGATTTGTAAGTAGGTACGAGTATTTCTATTGTATCCCTTCCAATATAATTCTTAGAAAAATAACGAAATGAAGATAATGCCATTTTGGGAACAAATAGTTGGCTTTATCAACAGCCTATAAATATGTATGGATTTATTTGCCCACTGTTGACCAAAGGCCTCTTCTCACACGAAGAAGGTATGAGAATTAATCACCATGGTTGCTCAATGCGGGTTGGCAAATTCAAACTTATAATTAGAAAGTGGGCAGGCCACCCGCTAGGTGGAAGACTAAGGGGGAAGCCTAAGTCCAGCAGTGGACGTCTTTCGGATGTTGATGATGATGATGAATAAGAAATTATAAGCCCAGGTTTCCTCATGATGTTTTCCTTCACCGTTTGTCCGTGGTCTCTAAATAATCTTAGAAAGTACATACATATATATAACTCGGAAAAAGTCACATACTATTATGGTACTACCGTTGATAAGTTTCGAACCCGCATGCTACGAATATATAGCTTATGAGTATTATAAGCCAACCACACTTGTAAGTTTGAATCGATGATTCGATTAATCAATTATTTGTACCTTATTTTAACTGTCTTGCTTTTAGTTCATTTATCTTTAACAAAAACTTTCTTAGCTTATTCATATATAATCTGCGTGAATTATTATATTCTAAGTCTAACTTAGAGTCTAAGGGATTTAAAGCGGTTTTTATTATAAAAAAAAACAAACCGTATGATCAACCTAAAAATACTCATTCTTTATAAAATATGTTTATTTATTTATTTATTTATTTATTTATGTACACACATTCAACACAGACTCCTCGAGTTGAGACATGTACTCGATCTTGTGACGCGATTTATCGGGGGCAATGATCACTATCTTGCCCTCAACTGACCAGCAATTGGTTATACCGAAATATTTTCGTGCGGCAGTGAAGGCACGGTGACGCA